CGCACGGAAAATTGCTTGTCGGCTCTTGATATCAGATATTTGTTTGTGGATGTTTAATGAACACTCTTAAATTGAATGACGGCAAAATTGGATTTCTTATTATTGGCACAACAGTTGGAAAAGTTTGACATTACGAGAGTCAGCGTGCGTAACGCAGACATTCATGTAACCTGTGATCATCTCGTTCCCAATGCAAGGAATCTCGGTTCATAGTTCGACTCTAGACTAGTGTCCATGTCAAAGGATGTTGCAAACATGTGCAGCTCTTCATTTTTCTATATATTTTTACAACATACGACGCATCAGGAATCATCTCTCACAAACGTCAACGGAGACACTCATGCATTCCAGGCAGTACTCGTATCCAGTCGTCTTGACTACCGCAACAGCTTATTATATTCTGCCTGATTCCTAACTAAATGATACGCAACTGGAAAACGTTTACAGAATGCTTGTGCTAGACTGATTTTTAAGGAACGCAAATTTATTCACGTAACGCCTCCTATTACAGAGTTACACTGGTTACCAATAAGATTTAGAATTTAGTTTAAAATTCTTTTGATTACTTTTAAGGATCTTCATGGTTTAGCCCCGTCTTTAATATCATTTCTTATTTCTCTTAGGCGTCCATCGAAATATAATCTTACGAATTTAAATGACAATTAATCTTTCACTTAGTTTTCCCAGTTTCATATCCAAATCAACACTTGGCGACAGGTCCAAAGCTCTGAAATGCTTTCCCATGTCAAATGCGCCAAGTGTTTTGCTGTTTTTAAAGTAACTCTTAAAACACTTATTCAGTTCAGCATTTTTATCATCATAACTTAGCATCTATCTTGTACATGTTTCGTGTTAGTATGTAACATTTTTATCATTGTAATATTTTATTGTGTATTTTTTAAGTTAAAATTTTATTTTTATCTATTTAAATTTTAGACCTTACTTTCTACCTGACTGTCATGCGCATTTAAACATTTTTATGGACAATTTCGCGCTATAAATGTATTATTATTAGGTGAAATTCGAAAACTGGCCAGATGTCATGGTCAGTGGCGTCATCGATTGTCATGGAAACGTTCTACCCTAAACGCTTAAATAGTTATACTTTACTGTGAAGTCCAGAAGTAGACGTTTCAATAAAGATATCTCAAGGGCAAAATATAATGGAATATAGAATTTTGATTATTGGTATTAGATTTTACATTAAAAAGAGCAAAAACTGTTCAGCGACAACGGCCGGGAAAGATTCGAAGATCATGACGATGGAAAGTTCGATTGAAAGTGGTTCCAACAGATGAAAGCAACGATCCCGAAGTATTTATTTATTAATCTTACACGTAGAGCTCGTCATTCTGCACTAAATAGCACCGAATTTTTAAAGTCTGTGCCGTTTAAACATGGATAATAAATCTTCGATATTCATGATTGAATCCGTTCCTTGAGCTACAGGTTGAACTACAGAGAAGTCGTGTCAGCATTATTCTGCCAGGAAATACTACTAGAAATAGCAATTTCGGTTATGTTTGTTGAGGTAAATAACTGTTTTTTACATATGGTTGTGCATTATCTATCAACTTATCAGTGTTTTTAAGCGCAAACGCTTAGGCCCAGCATTGGATCCAAGGTGAGGCTGTGTCTCACGGAAAAAAGGGTAGAATAAAAATCATATTTTGATTTAGGGGAAATTTTACGCAATCTACATACTTATCCGGCTACCACTGCTGGGACCAGCCATATCTTCAAGCTGAATGACTTCTTCAAAGTCTTCTACGGAGCCTGTGTAACCTTTGTTAGTATTTTTTACGCTTTTGTTATACATTTAACGCGGCATATACTTTCTTGGTCGTCCTTTTTAATATTTTATGGTTCTGCATAAATTTGCCCTCTCTCGGTTTCTTGGAACTTATAAGCAAAAATAGCATAATATTTGTTTTTCCATGGCGTCGAATTTCTCAGAAAAGGCATGTGATAAAATACATGCCCTCAGAGGACAGGTGATAAACGCCAAGATAGCTCCGCTCGATAAAAAATTAAACGACTTAAACAATGGTTTACAAGGAACTACACCTTTTAGGAGGATATGAGTGAGACCTAAGGCCCATTTTTCGAAACTTTCATTTACTATACGGGCCCGAAAAATCCATAAATATATTTTAAATTCAAAACTCTCAAGAAAGGTAGCGCCGGCTCTATACCCCGAACCAGTCCATTTGGGTTTTCCTTAACTTTCAAAGCTATTAATTTCACCTCGTTATTAATCCAATTAGCTTTATTGGTTCGGTAATGGCATAGAGTTTCATATAAACGTGCCCCGGTACATAAAAGTTCTTTGTGGCATAAATTTGTCCACCACACTTTGGTTGCCAATTTTAGAACTCAAGGGTAATCCGAATAAATGTGCTAACGGGTTTTCAAAAAAATGGACGGACACAGCTGTATAAGTGGTGACGACACAGCCGCCTAGGTTGCGAAACCTAGTTATTAAAATTGGGTCTGACCAGCGGACGTAAGGACCATTTTAAACAAGTAGGGTACATACGAGGGGAGGGGACGAGAGATAGAAGGCAGGGAGAAAAACCTGAGATTTTTGAAACGCCTTTTTTGACAAGGTGGAAGAGAGAAAGAGGGATAGAGAGAATAAGAAACGCGTGTGAAGTTTGTTTTCCCCCGCCGTCTTTCCCTACAACCAGCCCTTACTGTGTTTTCATGCTCATTTTTTCTGACTTTTCTTTGCACCCAGCTAGATCAGGCTACATGTCTTTAATTACTAGAACTCTATACAGGGTGTCCCAAAAGTTCGTTTCTCTAATTTCATGCGCTATAACTTTTGATCAAAACTTCATTTTTACATGAAATTTCTAAAATATGTTTCTCACTCTATCGAGTACTTGTGTTCAGAAGTTCAGTTACCGGCATCGCTCCTTTGTTTTTTTATCACACTCTATAGCCGTTGCGGCATTAAGTGAGATAAGCCATGTAGCATGTAGAGCCCTAGATGATTCATTTTGAGCCTTTTTTTATCACCTAGTATGCAGGAGTCACTTCGACCCCCAAACAATATAGTTTTTTAGATTAGGCAGCTGAAACAATATATTTTGAGCATTGATCCAAGAAAAGATGATAATTCCGTCCCTTGTCCACAGTAAGGCTTTTGTTCTTCTTTACAAATTTGAGACGAGCTGAACGTTGCTTGGCGGACGGCCCTGGCCGGAAGTAAAGTTTTTTTTTGTGCCATCTCAGGGGTTTCCAAACTTTGCTTTTCATGAACCTGCTCCAGACTTAACTTGCTAACTGTTGTAAGAGCTACCTCCTTGGGTTTCCTGTTTTGTACATGGCCTTCTTTAAAACTATTTTAGCGGTTTTATTCAGGACTTTCGGTCTTACCCCTCGTTTCTTGTCTGTAAAACCTTCATTTCTCTATGACCATCTTACCACCCAACATTCGGATTTTTCCATTTTTTTAGGAATTTGTGCAACTGATAAGCCAGTGGATAGAAATACATGCTTCTACTTGCACGTAGCTGAGGGTTTTTTCGTTGAGAGGGTTTAACCTTTCAGGATATTCACACAAAACAAGTTAGGAGTTCGAGCATTTCGGGCTACAAAATGCAAAAAATATATGGCGGGAAAATTTACTCGGGCAGCGCACCTTTGGCGCGAAATTGCACAAATCGAATTTCGAGTCAAAAGATGGCACAAGAAGTATGAAATATTAAATTAGATTGAAAGTCACAACTTTGGTTTAAATTATGTGCTGATCAAGTCCAATCGTACTGCGTTACAGACTTATAAGGTAGAGGAACGAACTTTTGGGACACCCTGTAAAAACAGCACTTATTCAGCGCACTAACTTATGATACTGGCAAAGGAAATAACTGTTTTATTATACTAAAACAGTGAGATAATTGAGCAAAAAAAATGATAATTTTTAACTCGTTTGCTATTATCAGCCCGATAAAGCCCTCTCTGCATGTTTGACACAGGTCTGGAAATGGTCAAGGAAAACTGTCAGAGAATTTTACTTTCAGTTTGAGTCAGGGAAATTTAAGTCTTTGAAAAACGTCAGGGAAAAGTGAAATTTTAAGAGTACGTATTTATTATTTTTCCTCTACTTTTGTTGTTTTCTAACTTTCAAAATTATTTCGTACATTTTACGGCCATGAATCATGTTGTATTGGTAGAATATGATCGTTCACGAAACTGAACAACAAGCTGATTTTGGATTTTCAAGAAAACCAATCCTTTTGGCACGTTGTGCTTAGGACCTACAGGTGTCATTTCATGTACACTGAACGTGACTTGCTGAAAGCATAAATAAATGGGTGGAGAAGGTGGCTGTGAGGGAAGGGTCGAGTCCATAATCAAGATTAACTTGTTGAATTGTTTTAAATTAAGTTGGTGAAGGAAATTTTACAATTGGTTAGGAAAAAGTCAGGGAAAAGTCAATGAATTTCAGAAACCTCTGGCTTTGTGTAGCATCCATGCTCTAGCTTTTACTGGAATGAATTGGATTGATCTTGACGAACTGTTTCAAAGCTTAATTAAAAACCAAACGAACTTTGATTAGCACCGCTATAGTATGTTTCGATGAGCTATTTTATTCCGGTTATAAGCGCCCCCACCCCACCCTCGATATCTTAAGCCCCTTCGTTTATAAACCCTGTAAACACCTTTCGACGATGGATAAGCTCAGGGCTCATACACTGTGAGCGGCAGTTCACGGTATTTACATGCAAAAAAAGGATAAAATTCGCATTTGAATATATTTATATAGATACTTATAAGTTTTTTTTCAAGTTTTTACTGTTCTCCCCACTGAATCCGCCACTAGCGCATTAGGAAATCAGGAGTCTTCTTTTCAAACGAGAAGGAGCATTGACACATTTGTAGCCTTCTTTGCACGATTTCTGCCCTAAATCGGCAGTTGGTTCTTTATCCGGTAAGCACATTGTTCCAGGACCATTGCACGTCATTCTACAGCACTTCAAGCCCCTTGCATATCAGCTGGTTTCTTCTATGAGGAGGTCATGATTAGGTTTACATTGAGGCACCTGACAGGACGAAAGAGCTCCTCCTTCATCACACTCGCAGTTTGAGCAACCTATATACAGAAATAATTCGTTCAGTTTTCGTCGGAAATCATTCACTTTTACTTCATTTTTTTTTTTCATGAACGTAGCATTAAGGATGGATTCACTTGAAGCACTGATTTGCGTATAGCTGACGGCTTTTCCTGTTGGAAAATATTTCGTTTTTAAGCTCAAAAGCTGCAGAAAATTCAAGCCGGTAAATGCGAAGACTATGCTGCAAATAAATCCGCAAAAATGTTTTAATTTATAAGGTGGACGCGCTTTTGCGATATGCCTTTTGCATGGGGCTTGCTAGAACCATCCCAAGTGGAGTTATTATGCTTGTAAAACTACTGTTAGCTAGTTAAAGTTAACGAAACAAGCGTGCTTCAGGCCAGTGAGGCCAATAGAGCCAAAGCAAGTTCCATTTGAGTGAGTATCATAAAACAATAGAATTTGCTACATTCGCCACTCCCCCTGGGGATGATAATACTCCATTTGAAAGGTTACCCCCCGCATGCATTAAGATTTGGGTACTCCAGTGGGTGGGTTTTTGAGGGAAGGTGGAGCAAACTTTCTTGTCTTACGGGATAACGCGATATTAAGTTTTGCCAGCGTTATCGACCCTTATAAGAAAAATCAACGCAATATACTGAAGTTTAGTATAGGATAGTACCTTCTTTAAGTAACCAAGCATTTCTTTCATTTTTTCACTCACCTTTTACAGTTAGAGTGGTTTGAAGCAACAGAACCGAACAAAATAGAGATTTGGCTATCATATTTCAGTCCGATGGGTTACCAAAGCCGAGAATAAAAAGGGAAAAAATAGATCAAAACTAATTAATGATTAATTCTACTGAAGGCCGGAAATAGAAGACGACGTCAAACATAGATCTAAATATATCATTTTTATCTAATAGTACCGGCAAATAGACTTCAATACATTTTTTTTTTTCTTAAGACTGGTAATTCATTTTACTTTTGTCTCAATCTCCACGTGATAACAACGCTTTAGAACCTTTGTTTGACCACTCTCGAGTTCTTAACACCAGTCCCTACTTTCACGGAAAGCGCATGTATCGAGAGCAATGTTGATCAGTAAACTTTAATGTTGATGGACAAAGTTTAATGTTGAACTCTCACTAATAAAGTTGCAGAAGTCTGAAGTTTTGACGATTGCGTTAAGAACTACAAAATTGAACGGCAAAGTTAAATGTTGATCTTTGTGAAGTCAAATGTTACACTCTCAAGTTGAGTGTTGTGATCTACTTTGATTTTTGGCGGGGATGGAACTCCTCGTTAAGCACAAAATTCTTCCAAACTTGGTCATCAGTAACGTCTGGTTATGGTGAATTATGCGTGTGCTTTTAGCCAATCAGAATTGGGGAAAAATTTTGAATAAATAATAATATGTGTTAAATCCTGGCATTGGTTGCATTAAATCCCCGCTATGCCCCAGAGGTTTGGTGGGAGGAAGAAGGGTTTCAATTGACTAATGCATGTAGACACTGCATCCTTTACTCGCTTACTTTGTCACCAAGAGTAACTAATCAATCTATCTAACTATATAAAACAGTATATAAATCAACAGGTTTTTAGTACTATCATAGTTTCTACTAACTATGGTGGTATGGACTATAAAGGTGTAATGGTAATGCTAATCATTATCTGTTTGTTCTACAGGATTAACTCTACAATGACGTTTCCAGGCTTACATGTCTTACATGTAAACAGAATTAGAAAGTAGACTGGCAGGCCTCTCATTATTACTTATTCTCTTGACCTCTACATCATCGTTTGATCAAAACATCTATGGTCACTCTAGAACATAAGATTACTGATCATCTACTTGTTCCTTTTTTTTGTCATTGACAATGTGAGGGTTTATACCAAGAAATTATTTTCTTGAAACTGCTCACAGAAGAAAAATAAAAGAATGATGTGTTTTAACAGGCATAGCCTTCGAATCAATTCATCTCTGGAAGCTTTAGCCTGAGAATGCAGACAGATTTCCAGTAGTATTTTTTAGTGACGTGAAACTACAATTCAACCTAAAATGTTTTGTTTAGTTTGATTATTTTTCTACTTGCCCAGTGTTTTTTGTACTGTCTTCAGTAATATGATCTGTCTAGATATTTTTCCTGACTTTTCTTTTATTTAGGAAGATTATCTTGCATAGTTCCATGGGAAGTAAAAAACAAGTGTTAATAAAAGATTTACACTATAAGTATTTTGTTGCTGGGATAACCTCAAGTGAGGATAGCAACAGACTTAGGAAATAGTTTCCTTATATTTACCTATGAGGAGCAAATGAAGCAATTATTATTTACCAACGAAAAACTTACACCCGAATAGCTGGAATAGCTTCGGCAATCGAACCATGTACAGTGTAGTTTAGGTGAAATGTTTGAATCTGTCAGTAATAGTTGAAATATGCGGACCCCCGTGGAAACAGTTACTCCAGAATTTTCCAGCGTTTATTGACGCATTTAAAAGGCGTCCTAGTTACCATTTTTTTGGGGGAAGATTGAACGGTATAGCTGAACCTTGACAGAATATTTGTCCTCACATTAAGAAGCGAGTTGGTACCTTCAGGAACTTTCTCTTCAAGTCGTAAGCCGTTATCAAATAAGCTTAAATGTCGCTGTCCAGGTTCGAAGTAAAAATGTTCAAATCGCCGAGTCACTAGCCTAAGCGTTCCGTTTTCAATTCTGAGATATTTTCCATCTATTTATAAAAGCCATTGTTTTGATTCTGACTTTTTCTTGAAGATATTGTTTTCAGTGGAAGGCTCCTGTAGAATCTTGCGTCAGCCCAACTGGCTATAAGCGGAGTATGGGTGTAACATATTTCTTCGGCAATGTTGTAGACTTAAACTGTATTCAAACACCTCTCAAGTCCAAACATTGACATAAAAGGATACCCTCAAATTAATCGTATTACTCGTTTCAAATCGAGAGCTTTATTGTTGAATTAACTGGTTTATTTTTCTTGCTCTTCGCGGCTGACCCGCAAGGTACCTGCGGAAAGTAGTGTTTAAAGCCACTGATCATTTTTATGAAATTGTTATGAGATTTAATTTTTCAAAAATGATGATGATGATGATGATACCTTTATTAAAGTGTCAAAAGTGTAATAGCGGTTTATAACCACTAAGTGGGGACACTAAAATAAATTTTAAAAAAAATAAATTAATTAATAAATTAATTAAAATTAAGAAAAACTATGTACAGTATAAGCAAGAGAGTGAGAAATTCGAGAGAACTATATACAATATGTACAAATGTATCTATAATCTTATAAAAAATAAGAAATAAAAGATTAAGAAGTGCAAAGAGAGCAGTTAGAGCAGTTATTGTCATCTAATAGCATGCCAAGATCCACTCTTCTGATGTTATATTTGAAGGAGGACAACGTGGAAGCTTTTTTCAAGTTACTAGGAACAGAAACTCCATACCATTGGACCCATATACCTGAGCGAGTGCTTGAGAAAGAGTTTTGACCTATGTAAGTTATTTTTTTGTCTCCAAGCGCAGTATTGTGGGGTTTCTGAGTTTACAGGCCATTAAAGATGATCTTGGTGATGATTTTTATCGATCGGTAGGAGCGTTTGTCAACACTTTGATTCTTGTCGCCAGTCTGTTTTTTGTTTTCAGGTTAAAATTGCGTAATTCATACTTTATGTGATAACATCTGCAGCTTCGCTTTAGTTGTTGAAATGATTTGCTTTACTGTTGCTGAGAAATTGGACCGTGAACTTTTCACGTCAAGCACTTTGCTTACCGTCTTTCAAACCTTCCCGGGCCGGCTTGAACCTGACGTCACGATGGCCAGAAACATCGGATTTTCATTCGCCAATATCTGCTCTAGTGCTCAGGCCTAAGTTTATGATTCCCTCCTGGACCATAGTATTGGTGTCCACCATCGAGTTAAACACAGATTGTATATGCCTTGCACACCTTGCGAATAATGCCCGGTCATTACTAGAAAATCTTGCCCTCTTTATAGCAGCCAATCAGAGCGCGGCGTACTACTGTAGCCATATAATAATATTCGTTTATACTCTTTACGCACCTTACTGCACGGAATATCCGTGGTCAAAAGGCACGCGTTTTGACTCTCATTCGCCGGGGGAAAAGTAATACGCCTGCCGACGATCGATTGTGTTAAAAAATGCACATAACTCTGACCTTGGGGACATTTTCCCTGAAAGCTAAACCGCTGCCTGACTTGACTTAACTTGCTAGTTTCAGGTTGTCCAAAGAAGAAAGAAAGGCTCAACCTCTCGCGGGCTCAGTGTTCACAGTCAGGAATCTTGGCACACACGTCTTCCCATCTGCTGTGTTTGATGGTTAATCACGTGGAGCTCCTTAATTTGACGGAAAAGAGAATACGTATCTAGCTGGATTGTGGAAAACGGTGCTGTGCTGAAGTCATTGACGATTATTATTCTCGTCCAAAGAAGGCATGAAAGTTCCATCGATAAGAGTGGATGTGATCTTAATTGGTTCTGCTGCAATTACGATCTACTACTGTACCGTTCTGGTTTTATTCTACTAAAGTTATAAATACAACAATATCATTGATATTAATAAAAGAAATTAAGACAGTTTCCAGTGTTATTTAGAATATGCACTTTCAGTGCGCACATAAAAGGAATGAAAAGCAGGTTCATTTGTAGTACTTTAAACAGACTAACAAATATAATTATTACTATAAGTAATACTTAACAATTATTCTTTGAGACTGAGGTGAATAGTGGCTGAATGATTTTCCGAGGCGTGAAGCGGTTAGGTAAATATTCCTAAAGCCACTATTCACCGAGATTGAAAAGAATAATTGTTTTTAATTAGTATATACACACGAAGTGATCTCAACAAAATCAGAGAGGAAACCATTGAAAAGTACGATTTGATCCGTTAATCAAATCGTACTCAAATCGTAATCGAAAGTTTAAAAAATAGATCTTTGCAGAATTTTCAAACATGGCAATTCATGCACACAAGTAGGGCAAGAAAAGTAGAGCTTTGTTGTTTTCTGTTGACGTGCAAAGTTTATAGCCAAAAGGTTTGTTGTGTCGTTCTTCGCATGAAGTGCTGACAAAAATGGCGGCTCGGTCGCTCTAGGTTAGACGTCGTCTTCCTGTATCATTCTTTTTCCTATGTACTTGAAAAGTAGAATTTTTGCAAACATTTGCTTTCAAATTTGTTTGTCATAAATAAACTTCGATGTTTGGGCCAAATTTTCTTGTTAGGAAACGCTGAGTTCACGAAACGGCTTCTTTTACGCGAATAAACGGGGGTTGTAAACAATCCATCGAGCACAAAACTCAGCCACAGTAAATGGAAAAACGCCGGTTTGATTCCTTCCAAGTCTTTTCTTCCCTTAAAAAATTGAACCCTAGGATTTTGTCGACTTTTAAAAGATCTTTCTCTAAAAAAATGGGAAAAACACCGAGCTCACACATTATTCACTCGCTCGGAGGTCAATATTGTTGAATTGTCCGAGACAGAGAACCAATCAGATTGCTTAAATCACCAAGATCACTGAGTGTGTATATACTAATTGTAGATATGCTCATGACGTTGAACAAGTATCAAAGAGAATTAATATAATCAACTTAAATTGAACTATTAACGCAAAAGTACTAGGGCTCTAAATTTAGCTGAAAGGCATAATTAACTATATCAAGTCGCCATGTTTTTTACGTTTTCAATTTATTGAAAGTAAATTTCGAATACGTTTGTGTTATAATGCCGCATTCCTTAGCTGAAGTCAGTTAAAAAGGAAACAAAACTGTGCAAATAAGCCAATACGAGCCAAAACGATGTAGTAAACCTATCATACTCTCTGTAATCTAACACAAGCCGGGTGAATTCTTTTGGAGTAAAGCAACAAAATCTCTGGTCACCGGAAGAGGGACATTTGGATCAATATAAATTTTGAGAAACATCTTGCGATCCCATGGTGGCATCAAAAGTCCAACAGTGACGAACATCTCTTGCACTTGACTGCGATTCATTGGCTGTGGCCTCCATTGCTTTAAAGCACCAGAGTCTGCACAGCATCCCCACAACTACAAAACAGTGTATTTTGAGTTACAATTTTAAAAACCACACTTGACTGAAATGAAATACTCACCGCCATTTTCGCCAAATTTCATCTCTTTTTAGCATAACAGACCAAATTTTTTAAATTGCGCTTTTATTGCCCTGTCCTTGCAAAACAAGTGAGTGCAAATGAAAACTGTGCTCCTTAAGGGTTCTTGCTTAATATTTAATATTTAGGAATAGAGTGATCTGACTGGGCAGTTTTTTTTTGTTACAAATTAATAACCAGGTCTGGCAGTTACAGTGGCGGATCCCCCACCCCACCCCCCACACACACTTATTTGTAGACCAAACTGAGGCTCGAAGGGCCGCAAAAAAGTTTTTTGGTGACCACCCCCCACTTATCTCAGGGTCTGGATGACCGCCGCCCCCCTCCTTTATCTGAAGCTCTAGATCCGCCACTGAGCCTGCTCTGTCGAATAATAAACCACCTTAGTGTAAGTTAGTAAGTAAGCCTTATCGCCTTATGGATTATCGTTTGTAATAACTCGACGATTGCGGCCGCTAATTGAAAAAAAGAATACTTCCCCCAAAAAGAAATAGATCGCGAAGATGGTAGTATTTCAACGTAACGTGAGGTAAAGTAACGTAACGTAATTAATATAAAGAACCACTTTTTCCTGATGAAAATAATAGTCTTTCCTCTTTTGTTGGAAGCAAAACTAAGGTAACCTTTCATTTCACCAATCCCATCTAACTGGATCCAGAATTTTTTTGGTAAAATAAGGTAAATTTAAGTATCAATAAACTGGTGTAGTGCAAATTAATTCCCACAAAAATTAACGAACCTGACAGGAATGCAAACGATTTTAACTTCGGGTTTATTTCATTCAGCGTTAATTCCTTATACTAAGGTATTTTTAACTGTAGATAAGATATTTAAAGCAAATGTAATTGCATACCCCGCACAAGCCACACCATCCACAGCAACAAGGTGCAACGCCATGAATTGATAAATCTGCCCGGACTCCGGTCTCCCCAGACATCTCCACACTGCGTAAACAGCGCAGGGGTATGGGTAGGTAGTAGGTGGTGTCATTACATGATGACGTAAGAGAGTACCCTCCTGGCAGTTTCTTTGGATTGCCCCATTGAGCCAAGGACGTACCTGACAGGTATCAACAGAGAGTTACAGTCAACTGAAAATAAAATTTGGTATTTTACTATTCGCTTCCTTAATCTGTCTTGACCGGCTTTGATCAATATCCTCCTCAGCTTGTATGTTTTGTTGTCCGACCAGTGCAGGTCATACTATGTGATATTCTTCATGAAAGATTTTACCTCTTTTCTCTTTTCGGAACTTATGCGGACATCTGCAAGTGAATAAGATAAATTTTTCCAGAGTAACGTGACCCACCCTTGAACAATGACACACAAGCCAAGGATGCTAATTGTGATGTTCATATAGTATTTTATCCAAACGCCAAAGTAAAAAAAAATGAAAAAGTACTGCACTGACAAAAGCACTGATATTTACATCCTACCTGGGCCCTAGCGTAGTTCTTCGTAAATACTGACGGTTTTATTTGATTATGTCCAAAAAAAATAGCATACCTACTAATTTAAAAAAAGAGACATACATGCTTTCATTGCCTCAATTTATAGTACATCGGCTTATTCGGAAATCTGGTGAAATCTTCAACAACGAAACTGCTTGGTTTTACCGGGATTATCACAGCCGGCTAATTTAAATCCGGCAGCAATCGAGGGCAGATTTTCATTTCCAATCAAAGACTCTAGCGGCGACATCAAAGATGCACCAATAAAATGTTGACCATTCTTAGATGTAAATGAAAGTGTCTGAGATTTCCGCATTGTTACCAAACAACCTTACCAAAAACCATTTGTGCGTTTGAATCATTCTGTACACTGATTTCTAGCATCATACAAGAGAAAGGACAATTGATTAACATGACGGCGATTCTTGGCCTAATGTTGATGGCCCAGAACTAAAGATGAAACCCAAATGTCTGATCAGAATTAAAGGGAGTTGTACTCACCAACTGTAAGCTGTGAGGATAAGAACAGAATCCTTTTGTTTGTCAAAAGACAAATCCCTCCGCTACGCTGCGTCAATGGTAAACCAGCGTCATCGCAGAATTGTACGTTGGTGTAGTTCATAAATGTGAAGTTGTTCAAGGCTTGAAAACTTTCACCTTCATAGATGAGCCCTGCCAAGAGATCTCTGTAACTCATATTACCCTATGAGAGAAAGCGAGAGCAAGAAAACTTGGATTATAAAATAACCGAGATACCTACAATCCTGGACAAAAGTCATATTCATATTTTTCTGTCATTTCTCGGTTCCCTCTTAAAACAGTGCATCCTTTTCGAAATTTTCTTGCAGTTCTCCCTCCCCCCACCTTATACAAAGTTAAAACGCGGAAAAAAAAATTCTGGATACACGCGTCCAACATTGTTTGTGGGGTGAGCGGTGGGGTTGGACCTGTGTGAATTGGAAAACGCCCCATAAACGCGAAAGTGTCCCAAGACTTTTGTTCATGATTGTACTAGTAGGCAGGGTAGCCTGCGGGGAGCAGACGCATTTTTCGGCTCTTGTTTCGAAGGGAGAGAAGCCATAACCTGAAATACGTCTGCTGTTTGCAGGCAATGGGCATGTTCCCAATGAGATTGTCAAGAAATAAAAGAAATAAGAAAGAGTAGAAAAAAGATAACATAAAACAAGAAAACGACTGTGACTTTAAATTAGAAACTGACAGACATGTGACCATCTATAACTTACAGATGTCCTGAATTTCAAAAAATAATAATAATTAAAATTTATTTATAAATAATTAGCAATTATTTAATAATTAAACTAGGGAATCGAACTAAATATCAGGCAGGGTGGCAGTAAAGAACTGATCTCCTTTTTTCACCTATGCCAGAATTTAAACATTTGTGAAAAAGATAGTACAATATATAATGGAAAATATGCTACTTCCAAAATCACATTTTCTCTTTACTAAAACTACCGAAATTTAGTAATTCTAGTTTGGTTTAAACAACAAAAACACTAATTTGTACCAAATTATGTGCATTCTCATTTCTTATAGCTGCAGTACTTTGTGAGATGACAAATAAGTGTGAATGGCCTATTGTAAACACTACTAAGGCAGTTGTCAAAGTATTCCTGACCTTCAGAGAAACAAACTGGCCCTGTACTGTACGTTGTAGCTGATCAGCGCTTTGTCTAACAACACTTTGCAGAGTTGTACCACTCATGTGCGCAGTGGTTAGTCCAGCCATTATGCCTCTTGAGGCAGGGTCCAACATGGTATCAGAAAAGGCCTGGGGTTGACTCACTACAGGTGGAGCAATTGAGGCTAGAAAGTCCATATCAACTGGAAATTGAATAAAACATATTTGACTTATGC